CTCATCCCGCCCCCTTGACCTGTCCGTCCTCCCTGGACTGACCTATCTCCTCCCTAACTCCCCACCTACACTCACCTTTACTGACTCCATCCCCGCTTCTTTGACCGGTCTGTCTCCTCTCCACCTATCTTCTCCTCTATCCATCTTCTATCAGCTTCCCCCTCTCTCCCTATTTATTTCAGAACCCCCTTCCCCTCCCCCATTTCTGAAGAAGGGTCTAGGCCCGAAACGTCAGCCTTCCTGCTCCTCTGATGCTGTTTGGCCTGCTGTGTTCATCCAGCTCTACACCTTGTTATCTCTTATTAAATCTGGACCCACAGGTTATACTAAAGTTGCCCCTCAAGATAAGAACAAAGTGGAGGCTTTGATTTTGTTGTGGTGATTTCATCCCATAAAATAAAATCTTAACAATCTTATTTATATGAACTCAGATAATGATGGACGATAACTCACTTCCACCTAGTTACGTGATAGTTTGATAACAGAATATAAATTGGATGTACATATACAGGTTATAAAAGCAGCCTGTTTGATTGTTGACATTCCCCATACTTAGAGACTTTAATATCAGCCACAGAAAACAGCATTCTTGCTTTCTACATTACAAGGGAGATCGGAATCTTCACCGCTTTCTCTGAATGAACAAAACTGCACAAAGTGATAAGACTGACAGTGCCTATTATAGCACCATGGAATGAAAGCAAGCCACAAAAACAGGTATAGATTTCTGTGTTTTGGAAAGGCTGAGTAAAAAGAATACAATAAGTAACAAAAATGATTTTAGCTGCAATAAAAATCAAGATAAGAGACATAAAACAACTTTTATAACAGAAAGCTGGAGTTTCCCTTTTGTAAGCTTCCTTATTGCTTTCGAATGACAGACCTCTATTCATTGAAGTGTTACTGATTTAATTATTTATTCAATTCTCACTGTTTGGTTTAATCAGGTAGCCATTAAAGGTGATGTACGTATCAAAGCCATCGCTGAAGATGGCATTCTCCCGTTCTCCCTTAAACAAACGAATCCAGACTTCATCATTCTGTTTCAGATCCATCATAATGCTCTGACTTTGCATGATGCTGCGATCGCTGGGCTGAGCATAGAGAATGACAACCTCCTGCTCATTCTTCATGATGTGCATATAGGTTTCCTTCTGATTCCAGGTGTGTACATTTAAGCTAAAGTGGTAAATACCTGGGATGGAGCAGTAAAATCTGCTTGTGAACATATTAAATTGATCATATAGATTGACATATACAGTATCAAACACCAATGTCTGGTAGTAATTGTTACTGTGTAGTTCTTTCTTTCGGCCAACAGAGAAAGCTGCATAATACATTTTACATGGCTCTCCAAACCGTCCTGTATTCCCCTTTGCACCTTTGGCGCCTGCCGGACCACGGAGTCCAGGGTGTCCCGTTTTTCCATCTTTGCCATAAGTTCCACGTGGCCCTTTGTCACCCTTCTCACCTGAAAAAAACACGATGTTTAAAAAAAAGTTAATTGTCACAGCCTGTCAGTATCTACCTAACTGTATTCTTTTCCACAAGTTTAAGATGAATGGGGACAGTACAACTAGCAATGGAACCAAAAATCCAAGATTAAATGTAACAAGAATGAGGTTTAAGACAAATTTCCTTCTGTAATATATGAACAATGGTTGTTAATAATAAAAATAGTAGAAACATCACACACACCAACTCACAGAGCATGACATATCTTCATTTCCATTCATGTGACAAGTGTAAAACATCGTAGGAGCCAATGATTTTGTTATAACAAATGTCCTTGTGGTTTCCTACAAACCATTTCTATTAATCATTTTTCTACACATTCACGTTTGTTTGTTATGGGTATTGACTCTATACATCACACCAGCTTACCTAACTTCATTTGTGATGTTTACTAGTTAACCAGATGAGATCTGTATTCTCAATGAATAATCTGGTTTTTAATCGATGAAAAATGATATAAAGTACGATTAGAACATATCTAATGAATATATCTAATGAAAGGGAAATCCTGTTTGACAAATTTATTAGAGTTTTTTTCAGCATATAAATAGAAGGGTAGATAAATGGGAACCAGTAGATGAAATATATTTGAATTTCCAAAAGGCATTTAATAAGGTATCACACAAAATGTTAATACATAAGATAAGGGCTAATGGTGTTGGAAGTGATCTTTTAGCATTGATAGAGGAGATGTTGATAAATAGAAAACAAAGCATATGGATAAATTTTCTGATGAAGGGTCTAGGCCCGAAACGTCAGCCTTCCTGCTCCTATGATGCTGCTTGGCCTGCTGTGTTCATCCAGCTCTACACTTTGTTACCTGGATAAATTGGACTTTGCCAATTAAGGCATGACGAGTGGAACGTAACAAGGATCGGAGCTGGAGCTTCAGGTACTTACAAACTTCAGTATATTCCTTACTCAAATGAAGAGACAAAGAATACGTACCTAGGTCTGCTAACAATCCAAAGTTAAGTGGAATGTAAGCCATGCAAACACAAAGAGACTACAATAGACATAGCTAGGTTAAGTGATTGGACAATAATATGATGGATGGAGTATCATGAGAGGAAATATGAAGTTATTCACATTGGTCCTAAGAGCAGAAAAGCTGATAGTTATTTTTAAAAAACATGAAACCTGTTCATGTGCATGTTATTGAGAGACCTGAATACAGTTGTACAAGGAATGCAAAATGTTAGCAGCAATTTGGAAAGCAAATAGCATGTTAGCCTTTATTACAAGGGAATTACAATACAATAATAGTCTTGCTATAATTACATGGGGATTTCATGAAACCACACTTAGAATACTGTGTGCAGTTTTGACATGAATATCTAAGTAAGGATATAATTGCGTTGGAAGCACCACAGCAAAAGTTCACTAGATTGGTTTCTGGAATGAGAAAATTGTCCTAGAGGCTGGGTTTATACTCTCTGTAAGTTAGCAGAATGAGAGATCATCTCATTGAAACATTTAAGATTATGGTAGAACTTGACACTGGTTAGATACTAGAAGGTTGTTCTCTGGCTGGAGAAACAAGCACAAGGGGGCAACATTTCCAAAAGAGGAATCAATCATTTAGGACTGAGATAGGGAGAAATTTCTTCACTCAAAGGCTTAAAGAGTTGAAGCTCAAGATCAACTATGATCATACCGAAAAGCAGAACAAGCTTGACAGGTCATAGCATTTTCTCCTCCTCCTATTTCCTATGTTCGTACGTTAAGTTGAATCATTGATCTCCCCATTCCCAGTTAAAGGATAAAGTACAAAATATATTCCACCTGTAATGACTTGAACTGACCTTCATTTTTCATTATATTGTTGTGTTTTCTTCATTGATTTAATAGATCTTAAGACCATAAGCTGTAAGAGCAGAAGTAGACCATTTGACCCAACAAGTCTACTCCAGCATTCACTTTGCTGCTTTTTCCCCAAAACCCTCAGTTTCCTTAACAATTAAATGTTTGTGTATCTCAGCCTTGAATATACTTAATGATTCAGCCTTGACAGCCCCCTGCAATAAAGAATTCCACAGATTCACTACGGTCTCAGAAAAAAAAAATCCTCTTCATCTCTTCAACAAAGGTGACCACTTACTCCAAGATTATTCCCTCTGGTCTTAGATTCCCCTGCAAAGGGAAACAACCTCTCCACATCTACCCCATCAAGCCCCCTAAGAAACTTGTATATTTCAAAAAAGGTTGCCTCTCATTCTTCTAAACTGCAATGAGTTGACTTTCCTTGATCTATTGCTATCATATTTCAGACCCCAGTTCCACACATTGTTCACCTCCAATACAGTCGACCTGTCTGCTATCTGCTACCCTACGTTTGATTTGTCTTATCAACAGCTCTTTCAATTAATTCTTTCTCTTGAGGTTTTATGCCAATGTCCTTCACTCTCTCTGTGTCTCTATCTGGTAGCTTTCCATATTTCTATCTCTCTCCTTATCTACCTACTGCTTCACTTCTCCCTCTCCTCTTCTTTACTTTTCTTTAGTGATTTATCACCACCCTGTGCCTCCTTCACTCTTGTCTCCCATGCTCACCTGCGTATGTCTGTTCCTTTAGGTTTAGTTCATCCAGTTTTCATTCTTTCTGGCTCCAACATATGTGTGAATAAAAATGTAAATCAACAGGCTGGGCAAGGAAGCTAAGATAATAAGATAACAATCATTTATTGAGCAAGTGGCACTGTTGAGGGAGTAGTGCCCAGGAGAAATGCAGCCGAGTGTAACTAGAGTGTGAGAATTTTACTTTGGCAACTTCAACTAGAAGTTATAATGGAAAAAAATTGGCAAGTAACCAAGATTTATAAGAAAGCTTGTTGGAGCTGCTGTTATTTTTAAGAGGTACAAAATGGCCATAATTTAATGAAAAGCCTGCTTGAATTGCCTGTTTTTAAGATACACAAAATGGCCAAAATTTAAAAAGCCTACTTCAGCATTTAAGTGAAAAACAATAATACCTTTGAGAAGGGGGTTATTCTGAGGCAAAAGACAGTATTGTCTAAAAACAAGTTACAAGAAATATTCAAGGATAAACAATTTGAAGATTTGTAACAGTCATAGAAGAAATAATGGAATTGTAACTCATAAAAATACCTTGAAAGATCATTAAACTACTAGTAATTAATTCCAGTCTCATTAAGGGAAAGATGATGTCCAGCCATAAAAGCAGCAGCTAAAGTTATCTCTCAGAAATTAACTGTTTCTTTGAAATTATTTACAATATTAATAGATTCTCGTTAAAGATTCTTTAAATAATCACAGAGATAGATTTCACCGTAATTATAGAACTTTATAATGAAAGTAATAAGGGAAAAAATTAAAAGCGAGGCCTGTCGTATCTTAGCTCATTAGCTAAAGAGTGTTTACAGTAGGAGTAATTACAAAATTTTAATATTATGAATTTGATAACTGAATCAATTATCTTTTATATCAAAAGAAGTAATGAAATTTGATAGAGATAGCAAGTACAATGAACAATAGAATTCAAACAGTCCTCAGAGATAAGCAAGCCAGGGAGATGACCAAAAGAGAACAGCCAGTAACTTTGGAATGCAACTTAGAAAGATCCCAAGGCCTAGAGATTACAATAATTATTAACAGACTGAGGGAACCTAGGGTTGTCTATAGGAATGCCCATCTTTGATCAGGTGTTTTACAGGATTTGTCCCATAGAGGAGAAGGGGAGGGCACAGTAACCACGCTGTGTATGATCATTATAACGCAGAATGTATAAATAAAGGGCAGCTCCAACAATGCTTATGATAACATTACCTGGCAAATGGACAAAAATAATTTGACCACACGGTGCCATTCATTTATTGCTTCAAACATAAGCTACAAATAACCTCAACATTTGTACTATTTCAATGGAAAAATGGTACAAATGAAAGAAATAAAAATCTTGAATATATAGTGTCTTATATGTCCTCAGAATCTCCCAAAAGCATATCACGGTTAATTAAGTATTTATTTGAAGTAAAGCCTCAAGGAAGAGAAAAAAGCATGAAGTTGTCATAAATAATTCTGGCAGCAATTGTTCACCTGGCATGGTCCCACATCTAACGCATGAGGTATGTTGCTGGATAATCAGGATTTTTTAAATGTTGGCAAGGAGATCAGACAAATTCCAAGCTCTTCTGAGAGCACTACAGAGCCATGGACGTGACCTTTGTGAAATATCTAATTTAGATGTAGCACTTACAACAAAGCAGGTCCCTCTTAGTACTACACTGAAGCCATCATACTGGATTATATGTCCAAGTCATATCCAATTATTAACTTACTGTCATATATTGTCACATACTTCAGACCATTTCTTTATTTCATATGTTCCTTCAACTGCTCAGATTGTTTCGGAGTGATCATGCTGCAATCATTGTTTGGAGACATTGAAAAATGCTGCAATGTTTCAGGTTAACTGCTTCTAATTTTCCTATAGAGCTGCTGCCAGGTAGTTGTAAACAGCACATCCCACTGTATTAGAACTGCCATAGAATATTGTTTACAAAAACAACATTTACAAAGCCAACAAAAGGAGCCAAACAGACCTGCTTGGCATCATGCCATATACGCTGTTAGCTTAAGCTTGTGAACATGCTCATTACTGGCTCTTGTTTTTGTCTGTTTGCTTCAGCACAATTTAGTTGATTAAACATTGCGCTGAACTTTTACAGGGAGCGATATTAATCACCCTTCCAGGAGAAAGGGTTGGTTATGAGGTGACTAACTTTAAAAAAGCTCACCAAGTTATGTTAGAAGGGAGAGGGAGATGCATGACACTACCAACCCTCAAGAACAAGGAGTCCCTGAAAAAAGATACCGTAGATACCAAACCAAAGGTAGTTGTGTCTCATGGAGTGGGGAGGGATCGTGGAATCTAGGGAGTTAAGGATAGGGTGGGAGTGTGTTGGGTGGAGTCACAAGAGGATACTACTTTGGGCACTGTGCCCTTGGTGTCCCCCAAAAGGAAAAACCCAATTGCTTCCCATCACTTCACTGGAGATAGTGAAAAATCAGTTGCCACTTTCCTCTAATTTCCACAACCCACCAAAACGTGGTGATGGAATTAGATCTTTTACTGCCCATTAAGCCAGTTAAATACTTCAATAGACTTCAGTGAGCCTCTCCCAATGTAACTTTTCAAGATCTCTGTCTGGTTCCATCCTTTGCAGATGGAGTGTTAATGGCCACCCAAAATGCAGATGACTAAGAGCCAATAAATTCATAGATTTTACTTTTGCATGCCCCTTAAAACATCAAAAAAAGTCATAGAGGATCAGAATTCTTTCTTATGTTTTGGTGTTTAAATATTTAGAGCAGATGTTTTGCAGCACAACATGCTGAATTTCTCTTCAACCATAGATCATGTACAATCTCAGTGTTAAAACCCTAGCAATTCCGTGTTTTCTTTAGAAAACAGTGTGCAGAATCTTTTGAGTCCACAGGAGTTGATGAAGGAAGCAGGATCCCTGGAAAATTGGAACATTGTCAATGAAACTGACACATAATGCTCTCCCACCTCCATGTATGTAAATACAGGGGATTAACGCCAATGGGTGACCTTCCCATTCCACCTCCATTTAAGACCCTAAGATGGTCATATGATCCCTTAACAAATACTTAAAGGCCTCCCCCTGCCTCAGTTGCAATTTTCACTGTTCCAGGTGGACCTGCATGACCGATTAAACTGCATATCACCCAGTCACAGAGGGCTCTTAATGTGCAACCAATTTTGTGCATGCTCAAGGATATGGATATGGATACAGAGTGGTCTCTGAGAGCCACTGCACTGCCCTTGTTTCCAAGCTGATGACTTACCCCATGGTTTGGATAAGGGTGTATGAAGTGAGCCCGCAGCCTGCACTCCTGACCTGGCTTGTTCTCTTATGGAAGTAGATATCTCTATTGTTTGCCTGCTTCTTTATAAAAAGCTAGTGGTGGCTCCATCTTGCTGCCTAAAGCTTGTTTCTTTGTGAGTGATTTACAAATTAATTGCTTAGACCTCCAAGGTCCCAATTTACTAACCCGACGTCATATTAATATTGTGCCATATGATGTCCAAGATAGCATCCATTCACAGCATTATTGTATGCCCAGGGGGAGGACATCCTCACGTTCTCCCTTTTCTTGATAGAATGCCATACAGGATGTATTGGAAGTGCCTGATGGCATCATATTTAGGCAAAGCAAGGATGGCCTTTGAAGGGAATTATTTCACACACAAGATCCTTTAGAGCCATAGATTGTACAGCACAGAAACAGTCCCTTCAGTCTAACTCATCAATGCCAATCAGATATCCAAAATTGATCTTGTCCCATTTGCCAGCATTTGGCCCGTATCCTTCCCAACCCTTTCTATTCACGTACCCACCCAGATGCCTTTTAAATGTTGCAATTGTACCAGATTCCACCACTTCCTCTGGCAGCTCATTCCAAACATGCACCACTCTCTGTGTGAAAAAGTTACTCCTTAGATGCCTTTTATATCTTTCCCTTCTCACTTTAAACCTATGCCCTCTAGTTTTGGACTCCCCTACCCTATGAAAAAGACTTTGGCTATTCACCCTATCCCTGCTCCACATGATTTTTATAAAGTAACCCCTCAGCCTCTGGTACTCCAGGGAAAACAGCCCCAGCCTATCCAACTTCTCCCTATGGTTCCTTTGTTAAGAAATGGATACAGTAGAGGTTGAAAGTTCTATTAATTTATTTTACAAAATGAAACATAGTTAATCTAGTACTGGGTACTGTCGCTCTTTCTCTGTGCAACCATACATCATACAGAATGGTGCTATTTCTGTCAGTGGTGATGCCTCATTATTCACCCAGGCATTTACTAAGATTGTTAATTTCAAGAGCAAACAGAATAAAATCATATCTTTTTAATTTATCTGTGAAAACCATCAAAAGCTCCTTGTGAGTGCCCTTCACAAGGTCTAAAGCACAAAACTGGATATATTTATTGCTGTATGCTACTGGTTTGTTCTGCAATTCTGAGAGGGCAGAAGTCCTTACCACAATGCTCAAAACAGAATTATACTTATCACTTTTAACCCACATTTTAACACTTGCTCATACACATCTACTTTGTTTTTCACAGATAAAGAAAGATCATCTCTTGTCTCATCAGCAAGTGTCAAAATAAAGCTCAAGTTTTCTTTCCTCTCCAAAAACCACAATATTTTTCACAACAACCTGAAGATAAATCTAGTAATGAAAACAGAAGTTGCTGGAACTGTTCTGAAGAAAGGTCACCAGGCCCGAAACGTTAACTTTGATTTCTCTTCCCAGATGCTGCCAGACCTGCTGAGCTTTTCCAGCAACTTATGTTTTTGTTTCTGATTTACAGCATCTGCGGTTCTGTTGGGTTTTAATAAAATCAAGAACTAACCAGTAGTGGAAAGAATTTGTGTCAATATTTATCAATGTCACAAAAAAGTACGTCAACACATTGGCACTTTGATTTACGGTGCATTAGGAGTCTGTTGGGGAGAATGTTGATTCTAAAAGGATTTCCTTCACCATTTGTAGTTAGCTGGCTGCCATTACATCAAG